ATGATGATGATGATGCAAGCAACGAATTGTGTTCTAATTTTACTAATACCAATAATTCAAAATTTGTAACCAAAAAATGAAAACTTAACTTTTGAAGGGGTGCAGGTAGGATACCTAAGTGGATAGCTATACTACCTCTTGTGGGCCCCATGAGGTTGCCCCCTAGGGCAAGGAAGGATTGTTACTATTTTTTATAAGTTTTTTCATTTTACCGAGAATATTTTCAAGCGGATTTGTCTCATCGAGCCCCATAAGGTAGATTTAATTGTAAGATTACACATGTGATAGGTAATAGGAAAAACCCATAAGGCAATCCTTATTTTAGTATAACCACTTTTTTGGTGGGATTTTCATGAGGAATCTACGGGGTAATCGCTATATGCCCCTCATTAGCCACACGAGGCCCGCACGCCACATAGGCGAGATAGGTTGTTAGGACACCTTCTCAGGCATGAAGGTCTGGTCAGAGACGTATTAGAGGCAGAAACAGGAGTTAGAAGGGGTAGATTAGATTAATATTCGCAAATAGTTAAGGATGTGGGTTGTTCTAGTTTTAGGGAAATGCGAAGATTAGCTCAGGATAGAAAAGAGTGGAGGTACGTGTCCAATCAGTGTTAAGACTGATGAACTTATGATGATGAAGATGTGTACTTCATTTATGCATGATAAGTGAAAAAAAAATGAAATCGTAACAGGAATAGAACTTCCAAAGTTCTTACATTGGACCTAATACTTTTTTTGGTAAAATGTGAACAATTTTGATTCATGTTTTGTCCTGCTTAAAACCCGATGGGAATAGTTTAAAAAAACTTACATAATACTGTTATTCCCGTTAGCAAAATGTACCTGCATTGAAAATGTTTTGTAAAAACAGTGTCATCTATGTAGTTAAACAACTTTAATAAGTGGAGTGGTATATTTTTCATCAAACAAATGAGGTTCGTACCGGAATGAAATTGTGAATGAATGCAAATCAGGTTTTCGTTAGCGGTTTGCAGCTGTTATAAACTCAAGAAAATTAAGTAGCCATTAGCCATATGTAACGCCATATTGCACGCAAACTTAAGTGTATTTTGCTCACATGATTTCCATTTTTAGAATACTTAGAAGTTTTCTTTTCACTTGTTTCAGTATTTTTTCTTTTTAACTTTTATATACTCAAGTTTTAATAACATGATTAATATAATCAATATTTAATACGCAGGTACCCGCGTTAGAAGTTATAGTTGTTTGACAAACTAATAATTACGTATTTTATTGTGTACTTAAATAATCGCAGAGACAAGATGATGCGCTTGAACTAGATCACAGACATGCAGTTGACTTTATACTGTCTCTGTGCGCGCGCAACTTCCGTTGCATGCCAAAATTTTACTACAAATAAAGTGCAACTACAAAAATAGTCATCAGAGTTAGCAAATCAGGTAGTTTTTGTAATTCCAGGACAGGGCAACCCCGTTGTTCATAGCCGCTCAAAACGGACATTACAAAATCTTGCTGTACCTTTTGAGTCATGGGGCAGAGCCTGATCCGAGACGGACAGACGGAGCTACGGCCCTATGGATAGCTGCCCAGATGGGCCACGATCACATCGTGGCTCAACTACTTAAAGTGGGGGCCAGGGTTGACGCGGCAAGACACGTTAGTAATCACAATAATTATATATTATTAATTAAGATAACTATATCTGTATTGTTTATAGGATGGAGCAACGGCCCTTTTTAAGGCTTCCCATAAGGGCCATTCGGCAGTTGTGGGGGAACTGTTGAAATACAAACCGTCCCTTGGAATATTACCGGTAATTTACTTTAACGATAAATATTTATCTAAATTACCGATTTACATTTCTAAATATTTTAATTTCTAGAATGGGGAAAGTGCGTTACATGCGGCTGCCCTTTTTGGACACCTGACAATCTGCAAACAACTGGTAGCCGCGGGGGCGGATCCTCTTCTGAAAAATCAGGACGGAGTCACCCCTTTAAAACTGGCTATCAACAACAAACACCACTCAGTCAGTACCTACTNAGGTTAGGTTATCGGGTTTTGTTCAAGTGACCACCCTCTTTCGATCCTCCACCCTCTTGAAAATATGTTTTTTATTGAATTTTATTTGAATTATAGCATATGAAAATTGTCAAAATAATCAATTTTCAACCTCCATATCTTTTTATGGGGGTGAAACCGCCGCAAATTTTTTATGGGGTTTTACTCAGGTGACCACCTTCTTTCGATCCCCCTTACCCTCCCCCCCATCTAACCCCCATAACTTTTTATGGGGGTGAGACCGCCACGAACTTTTTATGGTACAGTGATGGGGGAGACCTCCTCTTACGATCTCACCCACCCCATCATCTAGACATTTACCAAAAGCACCAACTTTCCTAACTTTTCGTTACCTGTGTGTATATATATATACCAAAATAGATTGATTGTACATAAAATCTCAAAATTAATAAACCGAATATTTATAAAAATATGTATGTACAATGTACGTATACATAAATTTGAAATTTAAAGTTTAATTGCACTAAATTTCATTTCTAAATAATAAAATATTTGGTTTTTAATCTACAATTGCATTCATTAATAACTTTAAATGTTTTACATTGAAATCAAACCGCCAATTTTTTCAAAATTATTTCCCTT